GATGCCTGGTTGACCTGGAGTTAGTGGGATTCCCGTCGGTCTAGTATCGATTATTATAATAGTGGCGGATCTTCATCCTTTCCTTTTTGCTCTTGTGCTTTTGTGCCCATACTGGTGAAGCGATGAGTTCACCATAGCGTGTTAGTGTAATTGTAGAAGGTGAGCTTCTTCGATGATCCTAAGGCTACAGAGTTCGGGGGAACTATACCCTTCGATCTTCATTGTCTGTGCTGTTGATTTCTATGCATCATGATGATTAAAGCTTAGACAATGCTTGTGGTCTTGATCGAATAGTGAGCCAGTTGGTTCCTCTGTAGTCTCACATGTATGAGTCTGCGGACAAGTCCATACTTTGAGGGAAGACAAGAATTTTCGGGTTCACAGCATGACCTCTTCCACGGAATCCGATCAAATTCCGCCATCGACCGATTCCCATTTCCGGATAACTAATACAGTCCCTGACCGTGAACTTCTCATTTTCCCAAATAGGAAAATAAGCAACCAAGCTAAATGTGGATCATTGCAACCTTAATATGAACCTCAAGACTCGTCCATTCGTTCAGACACCTCAGAAAACAATACCAAAACCCCATCAGTCCATACAAGATCTTTAATCTTTCATTACCGTGTGAGTCACGGTGCAACGATCCATGCATTTGATGAAACACTTGTACATTGGCATTCGGATAGGTCGCGGACTTTATCTCAAGTCCGGGTTGGATCATCGCTGGGAAACGCCACGGCCGTGAGGGGGGTTCACGCTGAGGAGGGGAAATGTGTAGTTGGACCGTGAACTAGGGATATGTAAGAAATAAGTATATAAGAGCTGAAAATTCCTCCTATCATTCGATCTATTCATCGACTCATGCCATCAAAACCAACAGTCACTTCCAAAGAATAGTCAATCACTTCATCATGCCTTTCAGCCACGTTGCCCTCGCCGTCGGCGAACACTACGTCGAGATGCGCGACTTCTACAAGGCCGTACTCGCTCCTCTTGGCTATGAATTCAAGTTTGAAGGCACAGGCGCCAAGGGAGCTCAGTACTGCAGCTTCGGCGTCAAGAATGGCGCTCCAGACTTTTGGCTTGGCGGCGGTGGCCCTGCGTTGAAAAAATATGACGGCAATCTTGAGAACAGAACTGCACCAGTTCATGTCGCTTTTGATGGTGAGAATCAGAAGCATGTCGATGAGTGGTATGATGTGGCCATGTAAGTCAAATTGTCAATCTGAAGATGTGATGAAGATGCTAATTAGGTTGGTGTAGTAAAGCTGGAGCGACTGATAATGGAAAACCTGGGCTGAGGGCGTATAGAGATGGATACTATGCGGCGTTTGTTCTTGATCCTGTTGGGAACAACATTGAGGTACTTCACATGTCTTGAGCGGTGTATTGGGTGTGAAGGGGCTGGCGTTGGTGTGATGGGATGAAGAATTGAATGAAGCGAAGTCATTGAATGAGTCAATAGTATGGTAAAAAAAAGTGTTGTCTTCATCAACCTCCCTATCCGAGTCCTTCCTTGGTTGCAGTGCCTAAGATTGAAATCGTTGAACCTGTGGGTTCTCCTGTGTCTCTGGAATGCCATCCCTTATCAACCACCAACCGATCACTTCAAGCGGATAATGCCCTGCACTTTCACGCTCAGGATCCTCCTCAAGACCCTTTTCGATATCCTTCTTGACCTCTCCCCAAGTCACCATGAGCGGTGTCGTATCTCTGTTCCCGTGCGACGCATTGAACAGGAACTCACTCAGCATCGCTGCCCGGTCATTTCCCCGATTCCGCGTCGTCTCCCACGGGATCTTGACCCTCTCCGGTAGCGGGAGAAGCACAGCCGTGTAGCTCTGCGCCTGATACGGTTCACGTCCCCAGACCATACCGCCCTTGTGTCGCAGCTCAGGGAGAATGTAGTTCAGAGTGCGCATGCCCGGCATGAAATCGTACAGCGACTCTATAGAAGATCTCCAGTATTCCGCCATTGTCTCACCGGCAGCTGGACGGGGAACATCTCGAAAGAAAGCGCGCCATTCAATGCCGACGTTGAGGACTTTGTCATAGCCATGAATTGTAACTATTGAATTGTGCGGTTTGGCCTTGAGGGTGACACGCTGGTTCCGGTCAAAGTAGAGGATATCCTTTTCTGGCCTGAACCACACGCCTGGGTTGTCTCCGTGAGGTGAGAGGAAGAAACCTTCACGCTGTGCAACAGCACGAGATTCCCGACATATTCGAAGAGCTATCGGAGGCGCATAATGGATGTGGAAGCGGAAGAAGAGTTCGTCGACTGTAGGGTTGGTAGCCGGCTCTTGGGTTGAAGTCTTCTTTACATGGAATAGACGACAGTCAGGGAGGGAGAACTTCCAGATGAGATCTCTCAGCTCAGGCGGGAGACCTTCCAGTCGGAAGTGGCTTGAGCTCGAATCCTCAGTAGAAGTCATGTTGATTGTTTGAATTGTGAACGAAACACGAAATATCCATGTCACGGGACAGTTTTCGATGAAAGACGCACGTTTTATAAAAGGGCGTCAGGCACCCGAATTCGGTGATACGAGAATGTGAGTCTGCCTTAAGCTACCTTGGTTAGCCCAATCGGCTTCGTCAGCATTATCGTCACCTCGACAGGCACCGAAATAACAGCACGACCTCTCAAGTTAGGTTACGCAATTAATTCATATCATTATTCTGTCTAATAGGTATCAGTCAAGTTTGGGCCTCGTAAATGTATAAAGTGCTGTTATGCTGATCAGGCAGTAGGTACAGCCTCAGCTTGCCATCCTTGACGCTAACATCCATTGGATTCTGCGTCAATCTCACGCCAAGCTTACTCTCCAGCTCAATTGGCACCTCAGCTAGAGGAACCATTGTTTTGACGTCCACGAGAGCAATGCCGCCAAGGTCGTAACCGCCAATTGTCGCGACGCCAGAACACAGCATGATACTCTTTCCGCCGTAGAAACCACTGTGGCCCAACCACTTACAGTCTTGGTAGTCGATGAAATAACTTGGATTTCGTACGACTCTTTCGGGCCTCGGTGCTGCGTCACATCCTGTTTTGGCACTCTTCAGATCCCATGTCGCAGCGTCTCGTGCGCCCCAATTCAGGGCCGTAATGAGATTGTCGCGGGTGTCGTGAACGATGCCTCCGAGATGGTCTTTATAATTGAGGACACGCTCTGGCACCAAGGTTGCTGGGTCTGTCCGATATACATACGCGGTACTGTTGGGCCGGTACTGCGCGATGGTTCCCCAGATATACTGACCATCATAGTCAATTCCTCCATTGTGATACTCATCATTCCCTTCTTTCGTGATGGCGGCATCAGCGAGTAATTTTCCTTCACCGTTGTACACCATCAGATGAGCCAGCCCTGCACCAGCTGTTCGGTCTGTTCCATTGATGATCTTGCCGTACTTTTCAGTCGGCACGGTCCAATGCCCTGAACTGACCACGTAACGGTCATCGCCCAAGCGTACCATTCCCTCAGGCTCAAACGTGTCGCCCTCAAAAGTAATGTTCGCAATGCTTTTCCATACAGTTGTGCGACTCAAAGACTGGAAGGCGTGTATGATATCCGGTCCATCTGAAGCTGCATGAGCCGGAGGTAGTGGAGTCGGAGCCAGGGCATCGTCCGTATAAAATGTGACGTTCCTCGCCATAGCCAGCGCCGGACAAACCGCAATTGAGCTCGTAAGCTTCATATCTATCGATCCAAGATCAAAGAGAAAATGAATTTGAGGTGCAAGCATAACAATCGTCAAAACCACAATGAGCGGAAGGGTCAGTTTAAATGCGATGCTGGCACACCACGGCTTGCCCGGAGGGCGATCGCGGTCAGGATCTGGGTCTCCATCTTCACGCATGCTCGACGAATGTGAGGAGAGGTGATGATGATTCGATGCTGTTGATGGTGCAAGGTAAACAAATAGAGACTCCTTAAGTTAGACCAACCCGATGGCTCGGCGCCGTCACGTGGAGCTTCGCCGATCCTCCGCCGGCAGTTGGTGTCTTCGGGCCCGGGCATTTAGTGAGGGTCCACCTTCCGGGGGACTAAACTTTAACTTGAGTGCCCCCTCGATCCTGAATGGAAAAAATACTCAGGTAACATAGTAAAAGTATAGGTTAGGTAAGTTTAGGATGGGTTGAGGATACCTGTTGTTGGTTTATTTCGACAACCAATATCAAGTTCTTGTGTTGGCTACTTGCCTGCAGAGGAAACGAACATGTTCAAAGAGAAAACAACGGGGGCCGTCGCATGCAGGCCCCAGGATCTCACCACCATCTCAAGAATCTCTCGCCAATCATGCGCGCTGACAGCACGTGTTGGCCCGTTATACCAGCCCGCGAGGCGTGTTTCGCATTGGGAGATTGGTCGGTGCCAATGATGAAATGGCCGGCCCCCAGGTTGAAAGTGAGGCTATGGTTGGGCGGTGATAAGATCTTTGGACTGGACATCGCAAGGCTAATTCATGAGTAGGAACCCAGGCGGGTATTTAAACTTCACTCAGTCGCGCGCATTACACTCTTTCAATGGAGTCGTTTCTCATTGTTTCGCTTGACATGAGCTAGGCGTTTTGAGTTGCACGATGGGGCTTTTCAACGACATTGACATTGAGCGAGACTTTCCTGACCATGGTAAGATTTCTCTTCAGGATGTCAGCCACTTGAAAAGAAGCTAACTTGGGGCCAGAGGTCAAGTCTATGGTGAAGCGTTCCGAGTGGGCAGCTCAGCAGCATCAAGACTTCCTCCATCACCAATACCCAACCCAAGAGTACAGCACTATTCACTCTTACAGTCCAACTTACTATGGCAACGAGCAAACTTCAGCCAACACTTCCTACAGCACTCCCAGGCCTCAGATTTAGTCTGGGAATCATGCACGTATTTATGGCTTTGATCCACCCGTCAGTGGACTGGCCGATCTACAAGCGGGATTGTCGTTGGATGGTAGTGGTTCCGAGGATGATAGGTCTGAGAGTAGGAGTGAAGACGAACACGCGATGGGTAAGTCAGATCTCTTCTAACGTCAACTTCAGCTAATTAGTATCAGGCACGAAGGAGGTAGTGTGTTGTGGAAGATCTTGGAAGCAAGGAGCCAACTTCAGGTCAGTTCATCCTCCCTCAGTACAGTAACAGGTTTTCTAACTTTTATCAGGAAACATTACAATCGTAAACATAATCGTCGTCTGAATTGCGTCTTCCAGAACGACTGCGACTATCTCGGGGCAGACAAGAAGGAACTTCATCGTCACTACTGGGTATCTCACAAGGAATATGCTCGAGCGAACAAGATCCCTGATCCGAGTGGAACTTGCGAGGCTTGTGGGAAGTATTTTAGTCGGAAGGATCGTATCCCTCGCCATCTTTCACGGTCGCTTTCATGCCGTATTAAGTTAGGGCTTAAGAAATAGTTGTAGCTTACTACGGCATGGGGGAACGGTGCAGGGTCACGAGGGATACAGCTTCTGACTTTACTCGGGACATCACTGCTGTTGGGACATATGTTTCGTGTTTTGTTGCTTTGTATTTTGCTCTACTATACCACTCACTCTGAGAACTCCCAGCGCCTTACATATGCTACTGCTTCATGATCAGCTCCAGATCAACTCCATCAATCTATACAGGACATCGTCAGCAAATCCTGCGAGTCCCCTCAGTACAAATACATAAGCCTCTTTGTTTACCAAACAATGCTTTCCCACTGCTTCTTCGCCAGATCTTCCTTCGACTCGGCGGCAGGCTTTGTAGGCGGAGGGAGCTCCTTCAGGTACTCAACTAAAAGCTTCGGGTGGAGTGCGATACTCTTTAGCTTCTCCTCCCATTCTTCCTGGGGCGAGCTCTCAATGATCTTTCGAATCTTTGTCGAACTAGGCGCATCTTGAGGTCGTCGGTCCAGATCACAAGGCACGAATCGGATAGTGCCCCTGGGCCGAACCCGGTTCTGGCGACAGATCGAGATTCTGTTGTCGAAGCGAGGTCGGCCATCCTGGAGGTTTACCCAGGGCGTGCAGCCCGCGAGTTGTCGAAGACTGTTGGGATAGCGAAAGTCGACAGGGCGAGAGATATCACTGGTGATAGCGTCGCCACAGTTCCAGCCAACTGGATTATAGCCGCCAGCTGCAGTAATGGCATCTGGACCGAGGAGAAGAGTGAACTTGAGGTCTACTCTATCCCTCTTCAACGCATTGACAAGCTTGGCACGGAATCCTGGCCAGCTGGCTTCAGAGTTATCGTAGGCCCATGCCCAGTCAACAGGAATGCCGTCTCCATGCCAGAGGTTCACTCGCTTCTCACGAGAAAGAACAATACCAGACTCTCTCCCATCCATTTTCATCTTCAGTCTCTCATCGTCAGTGGTAATGATGATAGCTGCGATGATATTGAGGTCTGCCCCTGCATTATAGAAAACATGCTTGAGGAGGTCAAGATGACCTTGGTGAGGAGGGTTGAAGGATCCGGGGAATATTAGGATGCGGTTGACTCGACCTCGGATAATAGGAGGCTGTGTTGCTGTGCCGTTGTTGAAAGGGCGAGCGGTAGTCTGCGATGAAGTCTTGTCAGCCTCCTTGATGCGCTCGATGTAGTCAGCGAGACGTCGTGGAGCCATTGTTTCTCCTTGAGAGGTTGCTTGAGGGCTTGTAGAAGAGGAAGAACTCATGATGAAGAGAAGCAGTGTGAGATACCTTAATATAGGGGTATAGTCGGTTGTTCAAACGAATGCGCTGGTAGCAGGTGCTGTGATTCACGGATGTGGCCTGCGCTCAGAGTAGGGATCTTTACGGCTGACTTGGATAGCTTTTTTATATACATACATGAAATGAGCAAACTTGTTTGAATCAGAAGTGAGTCTCCCTCTTGGTATCTCAACCGATTCGAGGTGATCTTGTTGATGTTAGTGTATTCTGCGAGGAAAATTATGAGTGCTGGTGAGAAGTCGTGATAACTATCGTGAAAGTGATGTCCGTAGGAGATCTGATGTATTGCTGTACAGTCTATGCGACAATTTATATACACGCTGGTGCAAGCTATTGCTGGTGGTACCCGATTCACAGTTCCACTACGTGCTCACTGAACGGAGTGGTATTCATAAAGTGTTATTCTCATACACTAGAAAGAATTGGGGAACGCTATGGGAGTACAGGGGGTAATAGGGTGCCAGCGTATATAAACTTGTATGCTGGATTCAAACAATCATTTGCTCCTATGAACAAGCACAGCATAATCAACAAAGATTATAAGTCGGGAGTGCTTAGCTTTTCGGTGTTGCGATGTTCTCTAGGGTAGCACTTTGAAATCGCAGGACCATGACGTTGAACAGGGATATCCACCGATCAAGCTAAATATAGAAGATCGAGCTATGACACATGATCAATGAATTTTGCATCTGAGATTTACGGGAACATTCACTTGTAGATTGTCATAAATGAACAATGATTTGTTTGTTCGTACGCGACCCAGCAGAGCCAAACGGATAAGATGAGCAATCAATTTGTTTCCAACACAATAGTCACTGAACGTCTCAGCTGATCAACAAATAACCAGGTCGCGAAACCCTGTCAGCATCTGAATCAAGCACGGTCGGTAATGGTTCGTCAATCAGAATCAGAATGGGATAGTCGCAGGCACAGCTGCATGGGATCGACACCGCACAAACACCACATTCACCTAAGCACAGCACAGCATGAAAATAAATACGATATGGTGAGAAAACGGTCGGACAGGTGCATGAGAACTGAGATTTCCGCTGGAAAGAAAAGAAAGAAGGGAAGAAAGATTTGCTGATCTTGTTCCTGAGTAAGAACCTTGCATGAGCGGAACAACGGATGATGATGCCGCGAATAGTAATCGTAAGGCGGTGAAAAATGAAAACAAAAAGAAAGAAAGACAGAAAGAAAGGGTTTGCTCCGCTCATCATCTCGCTGAGGTGTGCCATAAATGGAAACAGGCCAGGGGTGATTGGATGCCGACATGGCAGCTCTCAACCAAAAGATATGGGGTAACGTCACTACAAGTCATGGCAAGACGAGAACAGCACCAGCCCTGTATTTACTGTCTGTCTTACAGTGCAGTAACACTCACTCACTCAGTGATCTGACGGGGCATCTCACCCGGTCAGAGTCAACACATTCGTGAGCTGTGTCTCTCCTCCATGATCTTTTTATTACTAGCCAATTACTCTAAGACCAGTCTCGGGAATGTGAGGATAAAACAAACGAACCAAACCAGACAGCGGAACACACGACCCCTGTCATGCTGATATGGGAGGGTATTTCAGGTGTCGTCCCATTCGTCAGGTGGACCGCGGCCACGGCAGACAAGGCTTGGGGCGAACTGGGACTAGTTTAGCTTGAAAGCTTTTTGTTGGAGATTTTCATTCTCTGGCGTCATGGGCATGATGAGATGGTTTGATCATGAAGAGGACTCGGGAAGTGAGCTAGAGTTCCAAGCTGACTGAGCACTTGAAGGCGCTCTGATTGAGTGCCATGCTGAGGGGTAGAATATGTAGCGGGATATTCCCTGAGCTTAAAATATACGTGAGACTCGAGTTTGCTTGTGATAATGAGAGCTCCAACCTCCAACCTCTAACCTCCAGCTCCCAGCTCCGAGTCAGCTGTCGCTGGGTTCAGTGTTGCATCACATCAAGCTCCCTGTCTGCCGTTGCCGTTCTACTGTACTTACTCGCTGTGCAGAGCCTTTCTGACAAACATCTTCCCCCTCCCCCTCTTGACTCTCTCAAGTATGTACCTACCAGCCATCGGATTGAACCTGATTCAAGCAAAAAAGACCACCAACAGGGTCTTTTGCCCATCTTGTGTGTGTTGTGTGTGTCACTCGCCCATCAATGTCTCACTGTCCACTTAGCGCCCACCGCTTCCCAAGGTGCCCCCCCCTCCCCCTGGCGCATTCTCCCCATGCCCCGATCCCTGTCCATCTTTTTCGGCGCGGGTCCTGGGCGTTCAAGCCATGATGAGCTAGACACGGTATTCATACAGTACGGTATCATTGTGCAGACGAGGTGAACGTGATGCATCCAGTCGAGGAGATATCTTTGGTTTTGCGACAGATAATACCTAGATAGGAGAACAAGGCCTGAGCTCATAGTTGTCATGATATCGACTTATAACCCTGCTATTGCTTCTCTGTTAGTCTCGATCTTAGTACAAAATCGGATTCTTATTACACCCCAGCCGGGGCACAGCAGTGTAACAACAAAGTCGATCTATTGGGTGATGTGATTGTTTCTGATCACGCCTCTGTCCTGCTTTGAGCCAGCCAGCACAACACCTCAGTTTCAACTGTGTGTGGTTGAGATGCGCGAGTGGAAGAGTGGACTTTGCTGTCACCTCGTGGAGCCATCTACTACCCTTTACTCCTCCAAGATAAACATCGACATTTCCAACATTTGCACCATTTCTTGTGTCTCGTCGTCGGTATCACGTTCTTCTCGCATCTGGCACGCGTCTTATGTGTTTGTCCGTCCCTTGCTTTTTGCGTGTTCGTGTGTGGTAACCGTATGTACTTTATGCATGTATGTACCTAAGTCTTTTTTGCTTACCGCCGCGTTTTTTTGTCGCATAATCACAGCCGTTTTGCTTTTTCGCTTCTGACCTTTGCGCGCGCGCTCTTGTAACGATCTGATTCACGGCGGATACATCAGTTGCGCATTTTCCCTTTTACCTTGCACTCCGAGGCACAACATTTGCTTGCTTGTTCTTCACCTCCGCGCAAACTAAACCCAATTATCGCAGACATGAACTGACAACTCAAAACGTTGATGAATCCAATTTGCTAACTGCCTTAGTACCTAGAGTTAGTGGATTCGAGTCGACCTGACCTCCACTGACTGGCATTTTTTTTTCTTTGGAGATTTCCTGGGGTGGGAACAGGATTGGGTGGATTCAGGCCAAAGAGGAAAAGCGCCTTGTTAAAGCGAAAGGGAATTTTGGAGCTAAAAAATTGGCGCCATGGATCCACGGCATCCGCCCAAGCTTCCCTTTTCGCCGTCGCCATACGCTATTGTTTCTCCTTTCCCTCAAGTTCCAGTTCCAGTTCCAAATCCAAATCCAGCTCCGTTTCCCGCTCCTCCAACAACAACAAAGCAACCATCGTCAACACCAAACGGCGCCATCACGATCCCTTCTGCAGACAGCGCCCCGGCCACCGCGACTGCGGCTGTATTCTATCCCATCGCCTCACCTCCTCCGCATTCTTATCGAATCCCGCGCGCCGAATCTTATCATCATCCTCATGCTGAGAATTTGAGCCCCGACCAAAACCCTGCGTATGCCGCTCCTCACAGTTTGGCCCAACGACGACCCTCCGATACCTCCATCTACGTTCCAACGATCCGCCATACAAGCCACGAATCAAATCACGCGCGCTTCCAAAACTCTACGGCCATTAACTCTCTTGGAACTCTCAATCGCGAAATGCCCCCTCCGACGTCGCCTCCACAACCGGGGGCGAAGCCGCCGCAACCTCAACCTCAACAGGTGCACAGCATGATGGGCTACGGGCCACCTCCTCCGCAACCTGGTCCTCCTGTCGCTGTCGGCCCCCCGATGTCCTTTCCTTCAGGTCGCGAACTTCCTGCCCTCGGCGCGCTGGCGAGATCAGGCAGCAGTAACAGCTCCATGTCGATATCGTCAATGTTGGGCGGTCCACCTCCAGCAATGCGCGAATCGCAACCTCCGCCATCGCATTATCCTCCTCATTCTGGGCCACCCGTCTCTGGTCCTGGCTTCGCGACGGCAATGCATGCTTCACCGCGAATGCACTCTGCAAATTCCAGCTACCCGCCATTTCGTCGACCTCACACTCCCGATCATCAGCGACCTTACGAGCCCAGAAACTCACCGCCTGGACACTACCCCACCCCCGAAGTCCCTCGCTACAGCACACCTTCTGCCTATTCAAGACACCCTTCAGGCTCTGCAGATCATGCAAGAGAACCTAGCAGGTTACCACCAGGGCCTCCCCCAAGGCCGAGCAGCCAGCCTAAGTATCCGGGAATGCCTCGACCGATGGAGATGGGACGACCGCCAGGGCCAGAAGAAGCATATGGGCGACGTGATGAGATGGGCCGACCTCCGCCTGGCATGGAATACAACCCTGAAAGAGTTGGTTTGCGACCTAATCCGTACGAGGATCGATACAGGGCAGAACGCGAGCGAATGGGCGAAGTAGAGCAACGTGAACGCGACAGAAGAGAGCGCGCATACTCTGGCAGCGATTCAGGAAGACACTCGATACATCCCGGCGACTATGGGCACCGCGAACCACCTCGTAATCCTTTACCGTATGGCCGACCGCCAGATCGTGACCCGAGGGACATCAGAGACCCCCGAGACCCTCGTGATCCCCAAAACCGCGATCCTAGAGACATGCGAGAACGGGATCCTAGGGATGCACAATGGGGCCGCCCAGGCCCTGACCCTAGCTATCGAGCACCCATGGATCATCAGCGACATCCCGATTACCCCCCTGGCGCGCCTTATCCGCCTCATGGTCACTCTTATCAAGGGCCCCCACCCGATCGATACGCGCCATCCTCACATCCGCCAGCTCAGAATATGCCACCTGGACCAGCACCTTATGAGTCCCCAGATCGAGCGCGTATGACTTTAATCCCTACACAACAACCGCAACATCCCCATC